TATTTGACAGAGAAAGAGAGATCACAAGTAGGCAGAGAGGCAGGCGGGGTGGGGGAGGAAGCAGGCTCCCCGCTGAGCAGAGAACCCGATGCAGGGCTCCATCCCAAGACCCTGAGATCATGACCTGAGCCGAAGGCAGAGGCTTTAACTCACTGAGCCACCCAGGCGTCCCAGCTTAACTGATATTTTTGTTTGTTTCATCAATAACTACGTAGATAAAAACCTTCCATGATAGAAGACCCTCGTGTGTGCGTTTGGGCGGACGGGTGACCGTGTTTCACGGACTTCCTAAGGATGGTGACGAAGTGTCTTACTATATCCGTGCAAACACGGATTCAGCAGTACTGATGACCTCAATTCATCCCAGTGTCCAGCATCTTTCCTATGAGCCAGGGAAGGGGCAATATTCTTGATATCAACCTGCCTCCGTCTCCCGAAGAGAATCCTCTGGTCCCAGCCTTCAGGCCTTTCCAAGTTAGAACTGGGACCTGCACCTGAGTGTGTTCAGATGAGGATTCTGACACAAGAAGCGGTTGCTTGAAGCTGTTCGTGCACACCACCTGGCTCTCACCGGAGGAATATGGGCAAGTCACGTGAGTCACAGGAGAGGAAGAAAGGGGAGGGTCGGCCAGAGCTGCCACCACGGGGTCTCTCCTCCCTCCCACGCTTGCAACACGGAAGCAGGGCCCCTCGAACAGGCTGCAGGGCCAGTATGACCCCTGCGTTCCTCTCCCTCGTCTGCTTTGTAAGTTCCTTGGATGCGTATACTGGGACTTGAGACGGCGGTGGACTGAGGGAGAGACCTAAGGCAGGTGATGAAGCAGGGAGCGGGCACCATCTGCTCACCGGCATCAGGGCCCTGCTGGCGGCTCCAGACAGGCTTCCTCTAACAACTAATGTGAGCACTTACGCGTTTATATCCCGCATCCACGGCTGTGCTCTGCGCCTACACTGCCTCTCCTCTACTCCGTATTTCGGTTTTAGTGACTTTAGTATTTTTAATTTAAGTGTGTGTATTGGAGGATGGACACTTCCAAACGATACTTTCAACAACCACCCAGGGTCACTTGCTAAGAACGGAAGGTCTCTGTAAGGGTATGCGTAAGGAAAAGGAAGAAAACATTAGGATTTCTAGCCACGGGCAGTTGCTGGTCAAGTTTCTGAGCTCAGGGTGGCTCACCTCTTGTCAGAAGGGTGGGCAGCAAGACACAGAGGTGCCCACCCCTTAACGTGACTGGAAGTCACTGATGCGAGATCAATACTACAGAACGCGAGGTCACTGCATCCCCTCAAATCATCCCACAGAGCACCCGCAGCTCCTCTCTCGTGCTGCGGGAAACACCACTCTGAGCAATGCCAAGTACCCTCGGGAAGGGACTCAGACCCGCGGGGTAACGAGGGCCTGCAGCCCGAGAGCCGAGGGCTCCCGCTCCCGGCCGCACAGAGGAGTGGCACAGTCAGCATTCAGACCCAGGCCTGTCTGGCTCCAAAGTCCTTGCTGTCTCTGGCCGGCCACAGCGGGACATTAAGAGAAATGCGTGTGTGGGGTCTTCAGAGTGCAAATGTCCTCAGACGGAGTGTACAGACGGACAGTGGGACACCTACGGAGGTGACACAGGAGTGGGTCACACAAGCGTAGGGAGGCTCTCAGGACATCCGGCCTCTCAGGTCTGTCCGTAGGCACCACAGAAGCCTGGTGTCTGGGGGGTGGGGGTGATCCCCAGGCAGTGGTCACCACGGCCGAGCTCTGTCTTCACCACGTTCCTCTGATCCCAATACTCCAGACTAGATCGAGGAGCCCCGTCTTGGAAAGGTGAACGGGGTCCACACTGAAGCCACCCGTGTTTCCAGGAGAGGAGGAATCAGGTGTGCGCCTCGCAGCCTCCACGCCTGCACACGCTGGTCAAGTGTCTCTGAAATACATCCGTGGTGCTGGGGCTTGGTTTCCTTATCCACACAGTGAGGGCAACGACGACCGTCTGCAGGCCCACCGCAGTGAGTAGAGGCTGTGCACGCACAGGAATCCTACTGTTACTCCCACGGTGGAAGGAATCCTTCTGCCACCCCCCTCCCTGGCTCAGGCGCTATTTCTGCTGGAAATCCCCCACGGAGAACTGTCCATCATCGGTGAGTGAAGCAAGCACGTCCCTTTGCCCTCCTCTGTCCTCGACAGAACGTGTGCCCTGTCATCCGGCTCCAGGCACCCGCCCCTGGTGAGGTAAGACTTCTGAGAGCGTCTCCTCTCATCACTGTGTAGGTGACGTGCAGAGCTGACACGAGACGCCAGTCAGACAAGAAGCCAGGAGGTCCAGAGCGTGTCCAACCAACATGTTCTTCCAGCCACGCTGGCTGAAGCCCTCAAGCCTCCGAGGGACACCCAACTCGGGAGGCGGTGCAGGGTCCCAGGGGCCCCCTCAGCAGTGTCTGCAGGGGTGCGTGAGGGTGTTGAGTGGGCAGGACCTGAAGAGGTCTGGAGGTTTCCGAACGCTGCGTGGTGCTCAGCCGGGAGACGGCAGGTCAAGGGCACCGAGTTCCAGTGGGAATCACTCAGGACGTGCTTCATGATGCCGAGACTCTTTCCTTAACTGAGACGAACTGGACCCTCGGTCCTCAATCCGTCCTCTGCCCTGATCCTCCACATCTCTCGGCCGCCACTCCGGTGTCCACCGCCCTGTCCGCTCCCTTTGCTCCATCCGTACTGCGAGCCCTCCGCCCTCGCACAGCTACAGCCAGAGCGGCACACCCGCCCCCACGGCACGGTCACTGCAACGGGGACCGGTCCGCCTCGGGGCTCCGCCTGTCTGCAGGCCCTGGGCAGGAGGGACAGGGGCCCAGGCCCCAGGGCTCTGGCACACAGAGGCCGGGCTGTCCGGTCAGGGGTCCTGCTTCGTGCCGAATGTGTCTTCCCCACGCCTGCTTCCCCGAACTCACGGACTTGCCGGCGTGTGCGCTCTTGGGAGCTGGGAGCTCCCTGAGATGTCATCACTTTACATTCCTTCTCCAGGAACTTAAGAGTTCTCCGTTTCCTCGGAGTCCATCCCTGGAAAGTTCCCACGTTCCCTGATGCTGTTGCTTGTTTCCTCAGGCTTCTTCCAGCGGGGCTGCGCCGGGTCGCCTCTCCCGGCCTCTCTGGGCTGCCGCAGGTGGGCTCGCCCCTGAAGGCAGCTGCGGGGTGTCTGAGGTGTGGGTGATGCAGGTCTCCCATGGGACCGGGTCTTGGGGCCTCCAGCCGGGGAGGGGGACGCAGCAGCGGCACAGGCCCTGGGAGGACAGGGCAGGTCAGCAGCTGGGGCTCCTGGGGCAGGTCCCCCCCGCAGGGACAGCCCCAGTCCCGGGGAGCCCCAGCGGCTGGGACTGTGGACCGTCAGCTGGGATCGGCCTCGGGTGAATACTGTGGGGCTCTTGGGGGTGAGGCTTGCTGGGTTCCCCCGTGCGGTGCAACCCCTCCGAGGGACGTCCCCCCGGGGCCCAGCTGCTCTGCACCGGGGGACACAGGGCTGCAGGGCGAAGGCTGCCCTCACTTCTCCACGTGACCACACCTGCCTTTGCGCTCTCAGCACTTCTGCTGCCTCTTTGCCGCAGTCGGGAGATTCCCCAGAGCTATTTCCGTCCGTCTGGAGCTGTGTTTTGTAACCGTTCTTGTTTTTGTGGGGGACCCGAGCGTCGGGGCCCGCACAGCCCACCATCTTGCTGATGTCACCATCTGCTCTGGGAGTTTCCACAGCCCCCCCGGGGAGCCCCGCGTGTAGCCAGTGTTGGAGCACACCCCACACACAGCTGTTGCGTGGGACAGTGTTGTGTGGGACAGGGGAGAAACACGGTCTGTTCCTGAGACCTGTTTTAGGGCGCTACACAGGGAGCTCTGTCCTGCTTGGAGAAATAAGGGATGAAAATACTTAACAGAAAAGACGGGCTCGGAGACGTTCCAGCACAGAAGGCTGTGGCTGTCCTCACTAGCTCCTTCCCCCGAGAGGACATGCTGCACCTTCCTGCCCCGTGGTGGTGGGTGATGACGGTGTCTCCCTGGCACCGGGAGGGAGGAAAAGGGCAGTTGTTGTAAGTTTGCACTGTCTGAATGAACAGACCACTGGGTGGAGACTTCCAGACGGTGCCAAGAACTCAGTGGGATGAACGGACAGCTGTCACCTCTAAGGCAGATTGCGACCGAGTCAGTCGGATTCATAAATGGAGCCAGCGTCTATCTGGAAAGTTCTGGCATTGTCTGCTGAGGATTAGGACAGGACTGAAACAGCCCTATGACTCTGCATCTTCTACCACCTTCATAAAGTCTGAGCTGTGCTTACCTGGGCACCTCGCCAGCCGGTCAGTGTGCGCTCACAGGGGTCCTACTATGGGCCAGGGCCTGTGTGGACACTGCGCATGCCGAGGGGAAGAACACAGGGTCCCAGCCCTCCAGCTGCTCACACGGAGTGACATCTTCTGTCTCCTGTGGCATGAGGGGCAGACTTTTACAAACTCGAAGATTTTATGACCCACTCGCCTCTGCCCGAATTCATGGCACCCAGGGCACTGCGCAGCCTTCATTATGGGGGACACTTTCATCACAGAGGAGACTGTCTGGGGGCTTCCGGGCCCACCGAGGCTTTGCACATCAGCAGGAGTTAAGCTGGCTCGCCAGTCTCCTGCACAGTCCTGCCTTCTTCCCCGGGGGATGGGGAGTCAAGGAAATCGAACGCAGACTCTAGCAGCAAACGCTAAGAATAAGGATCCTTTGACAGAGGATGTGCATGGAAGGGCTTGTGGACATCCGGGGAACCAGGACAGGTCCTGGGGCCGTGGGAGGAGCGAGCTGCACAGGAGACCTTCTGGGAGAAGCGAGGAAGGAGCTGAGAGCAGAGCTGGAGCCACAGGCCAGTGTGGAGAAATGAGAAGCCCCAGAGGCCTGACCTCCAGGGTCCCTTCTCAGTGGCAGCCCCCGGGAGGCTCCGCGGGATGGGCTCCAGGTGGGCACTCGTGGGTCACGGACGGTTCTCTTGCAGGGCTGTGTGCTGTCCGAGGAAGCAGGGGGACCGACGGTGAGTGTATCTTGCGGATACGCTCCTCACCGTCGTTCTACAGCCCTGAGGCTTCTTCTCTGGCTCTTGTCAAGGGGCAGAGGATTCTCCTTCCTCTTTTATTATTTTATTTTATTTTATTTTATTTTATTTTATTTTATTTATTTATTTGAGGGAGAGCACAGAAGCAGGGGGGGAGGCAGAGGGAGAACCAGATTTCCTGCTGAGCAGGAGCCCAATGCAGGACTTGATCCCAGGATGCTGGGATCATGACCTGAGCCGAAGGCAGAAGCTTAACTCAGTGAGCCACCCAGGCGCCCCATTTTTAAAAGATACAAATGTCATATGACATCATAATAGTTTCAGGTGCACAACATGAGTCAAAATTTGTACATGCTGGGAAATGATCACCACAATAAATGTAGTTAGCATCCACACCACACAGTTAACTATTTTTTGGTTGCTTTTGCTGGTTACAAGAACTCGTAAGCTCTACTCTCTCAGCCACTTTCGAGTAAGCCCTACACAACTGGTCACTACGGTCTCGGTGCTGCTCGTCACAGCCCCGGGACTAGCTTTGCAACTGGAGATTTGGACCTTTTGGTCCCCTTCGCCCGTTTCACTCGGGCAACCATCTATCTGTTTTCTGTATCTACGATTTCTTTCCTTCTTTTCTTCCTTTCTTTGACACTCCACACGTAAGTGACGTCATAATAAATACAGTAAATACAGTATTTACGTTCCCACGTCTGATTATCGTGATGTGATACTTCCAGACCCATCCATGATGACACAAGTGGCAATATTTCCTTCTTTTCTGTGTAATATTCCATTACACAATTAGCCACACCAAATTTTCTTTACCCATTCGCTCATCGGTGGTCATGTTTTGGCTGTTGTAAGTAATGCTGCAGAGAACACGGGGGCGCAGACGTGTTTCCATTTCATTCAGCTATCTTCCCAGCAGCGGGGCCGCTGGATCTCGGGCAGATCTACTCAGAACCACGCGACTGCTCTCCGCAGCGGCCGCCCCTCCTTACGCTCCCAGCAGCAGCGCGCAGGGTTCCCTGTTCTCCTCATCCTCGCCGACAACTGCCATCTCGTTTTCTGGGTGAGCGCCATTCGGACAGGTGTGAGGTGACATCTCATGAAAGAGCTCGCTGAGAACCGGCAAACTCATCAAATCCAGCCCCAGAATCTGCTTTTTTTCCAGGGACGCTCCCCAAGCCCTTCCTCGGCGCCTGGCCCAGCTTTCTGGCACCTGCCGAGGGTGACCCTGCGATGCTGGACTGCCGTCAGGGACGTGGAGTCCACTCTCAGCAAGGGAGAATCCCGCTGCCCTCCGAGTCCATGGTGTCCGTGGGCCATTCAGGAAGGATGGCTGAAGTCCCCCTCGTTAACCTGAGTCAGCCAGACTCGGGGAAATACGCCTGCAAATACTGCCGGACAGAGGGCCTGCGCCAGTGCTCCCCAGCCACAGACGTCCTTCTCGTGGTTCCAGGTGGGAAGGAAGCGTCCCAGAAAGATCTGGCCTGACCCGTCCGGCCCTCCCACATCAGAGGATGAAGAGGGACTCAGAGGAGAGGACAGTAAGTGGCCTCTCCTACGGCGGGGCTTGAGGTCGGCAGGAGCGGCCTGAGGACACTGGTTTGATCGGGGATTAGCAAACGGGAGGTCCCGATTCCTCGACAAGACTTTGCCCCCAGTTGGGCAAAGTTGTGTCTGGTATTCTTGGCTCACACGCCCTGAGGAAACACCTTCGAGGACACCAGGGATGACGGGGACCCTCAGCTTCTCCCCATCACTTCTGACCCTCTTTCTCTTCCAGGAAGTTTACCTAAACCTTCCTTCCTGACTCAGAGAGGCTGACGGTGACACCAGGAGAGAACGTGACTCTTCAGTGCCAGAAAACAGACCTCATGATGGCATCTGTCATGTTTGCTCTGCTGAAGCCGGGCGCTCCTGAGCCTGCCGACGTCCAAAGACCATGGGGAACATGGCTCACCTCACCCTCGGGACTGTGCGAGCCGGGGACGGTGGCAGCTACTGTCTACTACCGAGCCGAGGCTCCTTTCCGGGCCTCACAACCCAGCAACAGCTTAAAACTGTAGGTGAGAGGTAAAGAGGGGGGACGAATTTATAATTAAATAACCCTAACCCCTCGCTGTCGTGCCCTGTGTCCCTGCCATGGTCATTTCCCTTACACGCAAACACAGACGCAGACAGAAGCAGACACAGTCGGATACAATGTTGCTCTGGTCATCCCGGTTACTTGCTGGATCACTGAAGAACAGGAAAAACGAAACTTCTCACTTTTACCGTCCCTTATTCCTCCTCTGATGCCTCGTCCTTCTCCACGCAGACCCACGTTTCTGATTCGCGTCACCTTCCCTTCGCTGAAGAACTTCTGGTCACACTCTGTGCGAGGCAGGTGTACCAGCAACAAATTCCCTCAGTTTCTGTCCGTCTGAGGAAGCCTTTACTGCTTCACTTTGAAGGATAATGTCTCAGGGTCCAGGATGTTAAATCAGCGTTTTATTTCTCTCAACACGCTGACATCTCACAGCGCTGTCTTCCCAGGTGGTTCCCAGGGAGTCGGATGCAAGCCTCACTGTCGCTCCTGTACAGCCGAGCCTCTCCTCTCGCTTCCTTCAGGATTCTCTCACCCTCTGACTTTCTACCTTGAAAGGGTATGCACAGAGGTAGTTTCTCGTGCTTTATTTCCGACGTTTACCCTCCTTGCTGTTCTCTCGGTTTCTGGGATCTGCGGTTTTGTGTCTGACATTAATTTGGAGAAAATTCAGTTGTCATTTCTCTTATCTCTTGTGTTTCTCCCTCTCTGCTCATGTTGGTCCCTATGACGTGCGGGTCACGCCGTCGTCCACAGCCCTCGGACCCTCCGTTCTGGGTTCTTCTAGGCTGGTTTCTGCTTGCTTCCCGGGTTCGGAGGCTTCTGCTGGCGACTCCTCAGGCACCGATTTCCTCCCTCAGCCGTGCCCATCGAAAGGCATTCTTCATTTCTGTCACAGTGTTTCTGGTCTCCGGAGCTTCTTTTGGAGTCTTTCTCGGGATTTCCACCTGCTTGCTTACACCGCCCATCTGTTCCTGCCTGCTGTCTGCTTTACCTGGGGCAGCCCCAGCATGTGAATCAGGGTGGTTTTAAGCTCCTGAGATGATCCTTCCAACATTTCCGCCGGATCTGCATCTGGTTCTGCTGCCGCTGTGTCTCTTCCAACTGCTTGTTTGGCTTTTGGTACACCCTGTCCTTTGTTCCTGATGGCCGGCCATGACGTGCCAGGCGAAGGAACTGCTGGAAACTGGCCTTTAGTGACCTGGTGCTGAGGGGCTGGGAGCCTTCTAGGGTCCTGGGATCATGGATCCGGCTTGCAGGGAACCTGTGCCCCTGGGCTGTGACCCTCACAGGGCTTCTCAGTCCCCCTGCTGTGGTGGGACACGGTGGCGAGAGCTGGCTAGGGTTGGGTGTTTCTCTCCTTCCAGATCACTTGGGCTCTGATCAGACCCCAGGAGGCTAGGCTCAGTTAACTAGAACTCTGCTCTATTTCAAAGTGGGTTTTCCCCTCTCCCTGCCAGAAGCAGAGGGGGATTTTTCTTGGCTCTTCACCAGAAGAACCTGACAGAGCTCCAGGAGGTGAAACTCCCAGGCCCCATGCCCGGGCCCCCATGACCAGCTCCCCAGAGTTCCTGACTCTCAGACTTGTCCAAGACAAGTGTCCCTACCTGGCACAGGTTCCCATGGAGGTTTCGGCTTGTGGGCTCTTGCTCGGCAAACTGTGAGTCTCTGGACTCCCAGGTTGGCCTCTGAGAGCCCCGCAGAGGGCTGCTCTGTGACCTCACTGCCATTTCAGATCTAACAAGAGTTAGAGACTTCTCAGTCTGGGTTCTGCTTTTTACTCTGTTACCGTGGAGTGGCGACTTCCATGTTCAACCAGAAACTGGAAGCCAAGATCTCTGTCATCTCGATCTGGGGAAATTCTTGGTCAGGGACTCCATCTTGCTCAGGGACCAGGGCCTCCATCATCAGAGAGGACACGCACAAGAGCACTGTCTCTTCAGTCTGTTGTTCTCAGCACCACGCTGGGAGAACAGAGGCCTGGGAACCAGCACGAGCCGAGACACATCGGAAGGGACCCTTGCGCACAGAGTGGGAGGCAGGACAGTGACTTTCTCCCCCGATGACCCAACCTGTGACTAGTAGCGATCTCTGCCTTTGGGGGTTTGAGGATTTCCCCTCTCCCCATCCATTCTCCTCCTTGCATTATTTCTTCTCTGTCACGATGCAGCACATGCAGAGCAGACCTCTTCCTTGGCCCTCACCAATGTACATTTACATATTTTTAATTGATTAGGAATTTTAAGAAACCATTGTCCTAGAGGCCATGGGATATAATGCATTCTGTGTCCTGGTGCTTCTGTTTCTGTTTCCTGATGACTCCGGATGGCAGCTCACTGACCAGCAGGCACAAGCAGGCTCTGAACAGGACAGTCAGGGTAGGACGGAGGGAGGGTGCTCCACGGTCAGGGCTGAGCACTTGTCTCTTTCAATTTCCTCAGATATGGCACCAGGAAATCACACCAAGATTAACCTCCTCCGACTGGGTCTGGCGGCCCCCTTTCTGATGATTATGTCCTGGCTGAAGCCTGGCTTCCACAAGGAGCCTCTGCGCAGACCCAAGTAAACAACTGAGCACCCTTCTTTCTCATGGGCTGTCCTAGTGACGGGGGGCATGTCAACACCAAACTTTCCTTGTGGGGACCTCCTATGTTTCTCAACAGTGGCACGACTGGCATTTCTGGTGGGATATTTCCTACCACAAGGACTGTCTGGTTCATTGCAAGAACATTCAGCATCTCTTGCGTCTCTCGTTCAAGCAGCTGAAGCCCCACTCACTGTGCTGACAAGCCAAAGGACACTCCTATGCCCTCTCACGCATCCCCCGATTCGGAGGAGGGGTGTGGGGTACAGTTCCCCTGGTGGAGAACCTGTGTTTGGAGGCCAGGAGAAATCATATCTTCCTCTTCCTCCCTCCCATGACCTCTCTCTGTCCTTCTCCACCTACAGACCCCACAGCTGTTGAGGGGAATGATGGGTGTTGATGAAGTTGGACCCACTGACTGTGAACAGTTTCCAGTAGAAGGCGCATTCTCACCTCCGCTGAGAGCCACTCTGGGACTCGATGACGGTTTCCTCTTCTGTACTCCTCACCTGGGACAGAGAACAGGACAGCACGTAAGAATTCATCCCACAGGGACGCCTGGGTGGCTCAGTTGGTTGGACGACTGCCTTCGGCTCAGGTCATGATCCAGGAGTCCCGGGATCGAGTCCCGCATCGGGCTCCCAGCTCCATGGGGAGTCCGCTGCTCCCTCTGACCTTCTCCTCGCTCATGCTCTCTCTCACTGCCTCTCTCTCAAATAAATAAATAAAATCTTTAAAAAAAAAAAAAAAGAATTCATCCCACAGATGATGACTTCATGCAACCCTGACCACTTCAACATTCCTGTTGTTGCACCAACGGGACATGCCACTTGGGTCCCAGCCCAAATGCCCATACACAGACGAACCTTTTTCTGGGATTGTCATTCAAGCTATTTGCTGTGTCCTTCTTTCGCATTTTCCTGATAGCGAATGATGCTGAGTGTCTGCTCACGTACTACTGACCTTTCTAAAAATGTTTATTCAAATACAATCAACATATAATGCTATACTAGCTTCGGGCACACGACACACTGATTCAACAACTCTATACACTCCTTGATGCTCACCGTGGTAAGCACAATCACCATCTGTCACTACACAACCTTTATTTTAATTCCCGATAAAGTATCTGATTAAATATTTGCCCATTTTTAATTGGGTTATTTGTCTTCTTAATACTGAATTGCAAGAATGTATACATATTCGGGCCACAAGTCTGTTAACAAACACCTACTTTACCCGTGTTTTTTCTTACAGTTTGTGACTTGTCTTTTCATTTTTAAACCTCTCTTAAAGAGAAGTTTTAAGTTTTGATTAATGTCACCAATTATGAATTATTTTGTCCTCTGTGGTTCGAGTTTTTGTGTCCTAAGGAATCTTTGCTTAACTCAAGGTCACAAAGATCTTTTTCCTATATTTTCTTATGTAACTATCATAGTTTTAGACCACATTTACATATTAATCTTTTTTTTCCTCTAAAGATCTTATTTTTATTTATTTATTTTAGCAAGATAGTGTGCGCATGCATGGGAGGCAAAGAGTAAGAATACTTGAGTTGGAGTCTCCTCCTTCTAGGACTGCGTGTGTGTGTTCCCGAAAGTTCGCAGGTGGAAACCTTAACCCCACAATGTGATGGTGCTGGGCGGTGGGGCCCTTGAGAGATAATTAGGTCATAAGGATGCGGTCTTCATGAATGGGATTAGTCTCTTCTTATAAGAGACACAAGAAAGATGATCTCTCTTCACCATGTGAGGATAGAGGGCAAAGGCAGCCATCTGAAAACGGGGAAGACGGCGCTCACTAAGAATCCCGTGTTAGCACCCTGGTCTGGGACGTCCAGCCTCCAGAACTGCAGGAAGTAAACATGTGCTGGTCGGGCGACCCGGTCTGTGGTCCTCCGTTAGGGCGGCCTGAGCTGACGGACACCCGCAGGTGGGACAGGGGAGAAGTGCAAGTCCTTCCTTTCTTGAAAGACCCACTAGGATTCCGCGGTTTTAGGGCACCAAGCAGTGAGCCCTGTCCCGTTTGGAGTATCAGGGAATGAAAAGAGACAATGGAAAAGATGGCTTCAAAAGCCTTTCCGCACCAGAGCTAAGGCTGACGCACGCATTTCTCTGCAGGGACAGAGTTCTCCCCATCTCCGAGCCAGCCCTTCTCCCCTCAGGTCGGCGGGGGTGACCACAGGGTGGTGTTGGAAGTGGCGCTCACTTTGCGGAGGAAGATGGTGAGTTCTGGGGACCTGGCATCTTTTCACACCCGTGGAAAAATCTCTGAGGGGCCCTCCCACTGGGCATCCTCTCAGTCAGCCACTGTGCGTTTGCTGAGGCCCTACTGTGTGCCAGGACCCCTGTCCGCAGATGCCAAGGTTCCCAGCACAGCGTCCCTGCTTTCGGGGCGAGGGACATCCCACCTCCCACAGCATGAGGACATCCACTTCTATGAACCCGCTCGAGACTTTACAACCAGAGGGATGTTAGCATCCTGGTGACAGCAGTCAGTCCGCTTCCCACTCCCTTTTGAGCACAAATCCACGTCCTTATGTGAACGAGAGCGCCTCTGCACAGGTCACCGGGACGCCAGAGACCCGTCCCCGTGCGTATGGAAGGTGAGTGGCTGCAGTGGAAGAGGGGGGCAGCGAAGGGCGGGGTGACAGTCTGCAGCCCGGCTGCCGCTCCTCAGCGACACCCCCATTTCGGAGGAGGTCTCTCCTCCAGGCTCCCCCTGCCTGCCCAGAAGGAGCTCCGGGATCCCCGCTTCGAGGACCCCCTACAGCAGGGACACACCCGGAGCAGCAGTGCTAAGCACCACCTCCTCCCCCCCCAGCCACCCCACCTCCCCCCCAGCCTGCTTCTTCACAGGCGCCCAGCCTCAGCGGGGAGGCAGTGCAGCCAAGAGAAACCGAGACGGGTGCCCTGGCGCCACCTTCTGGGAAACAGAAGAGAGGCTTCTACCGACCATCGCGTTGAACCGTGGGCCTCAAAGTGAGAAGGTGCTCCCTCCTTCCAGGGCGGGGGCAGGGAGCCCTCTCACCAAACACGGAAAAATCACGGCAGCACAGCATCACGAAAAGCAAATGACAATTTCCCAATAACCAACGAATCCAAAGACAATACTGAGATCTGAGAAAGAATTCAAAAGAGCTGCGGTGGGGCCCCTGGACAGCGCAGGCGGTCGAGTGTCTAAGTCCTGCTTTCGGCTCCTGTCGATCTCAGGGTCTTGAGACCGAGCCCGGCATCTGGCTCCGTGCTGGGCGTGGAGCCTGGTTAAGATTCTCCCTCCTTCTCCCTCTGCCCCTTTACTCCCCACGCCTGCAGCCCCGCTCTCTGTGCTCTCTTAAAAACAAAACAAAACAAAACTGAGCACATGGCTGGCTCAGTGGGTGGAGTGTGCAATTCTTGATCTTGGAGTTGTGATTTCAAGCCCCACGTTGGGCATAAAACCTACTTTAAAATAAAATCTTTTTAAAAAGTGAATTCAAAAGAGCTGCTATGAAGACATTCAGTGAGCGACAAGAAAACTCAGGAAGTCAGTACAAGGAACTCAGGAATAAAATTAATGAACAGAAGGAGGATCTTACCAAAGATTACTGAGATTCTAAAAAAGAGCCAAACGGAAATTCTAGAGCTGAAAAACTCAATAAATGAGATGGACACTACATTAGGAAGCACTGGAGATAGAGCAGATCACCTGGAGGAGAGACCCAGGGGCCCCAAGAACTAAGATTTTTAAAGCAAATAAACTGTACAGGAGGGGCGCCTGGCCAGCTCAGATGGTGCAGTGTGTGGCTCTTGATCTTAGGATTCTGGATTTAAGCTCTACATTGGGTTTACAGATTACTTAAAAAAATAAAATAAAATCTTTTTTTTAAAGATTTTATTTATTTATTTGCCAGAGACAGAAAGAGAGAGAATACAAGCAGGGAGAGCAGCAGGCAGAGGGAGAAGAAGACTCCTGGCTACGCAGGGAGCCCGATGACGGACTCAATCCCAGGACCCTCGGATCATGACCTGAGCTGAAGGCCAATGTTTAACCAACTAAGACACCCAGGCGTCCCCCCAAAAAATAAAATCTTAAAAACAAAACAACACAAAACCCCTACAAGAACCGACAGACTCCATTACAGGAAACAGCACCAAGATTAAAGAGTATACCAGAAGGAGAAGAGAGGGCGAGAGGAGACTGTATTTAAAGGAACAAAAGCTAAGAATTCCCCAAACCTGGTGAAGGAAGTAGAAATAAAAGTCCACGAAGCAGGGACACCTGGGGTTAAGCATCAGCCTTTGGCTCAGATCATGATCCCAGGGTCCTGGGATGGAGTCCCGAATCCGGCTCCTTGCTCGGCACAGAGCCTGCTTCCCCCTCTGCCTGCAGCTCCCCCCTGCTTGTGCTCAGGCTCTCTCTCTGACATAAATAAGTAAATCCGCAAAGCTAACAGACCACCTTATTATCTCAAGAGAAAAGACCTTCTCCAAGACACATTACAATGATGCTGTCAAAAGACTGTGATAAAGAAAGAAGGGTAAAGGCAGCCAGGGGCAAAAGGCAGTAACCTGTAAAGGAACCTCCCTGAGGCTATAAGCAGATTTCTCACAGAAATTCTACAGGTCAGGAGACAGTGGAACGACATATTCCAAATACTGAAAGACAAAAATCGCCAGCCAAGTAAACTCTTCAGATACGAAGGAGAGTAAAGACTTTCTCAGACAAACAAAAGTTCAGGGAGCTCGCCCCCACTACACCTGCCTTTCAAGAAATGTTGAAGGCAGTTCTTCAAACTGAAACAGACAAAAATACACAAAATTCTGATTAAGGTGATAGTATTAGAAAAGTGTAACATTTTTAAAATAGTATATTAAACACTTAAATACAGCATGAAGGTTAAAGAAAAAAGAGCATTAAAAATCACCAATTCGGGGGCACCTGGGTGGCTCAGTGGGTTAAGCCTCTGTCTTTGGCTCAGGTCATGATCTCAGGGTCCTGGAATGGAGCCCTATGTTGGGCTCTCCACCCAGCGAGAAGCCTGCTTCCCCCTCTCTGTCTGCCTGCTGCTCTGCCTACTTGTGATCTCTCTCTCTGTCAAATAAATAAATAAAATCTTTTTTAAAAGTCATAGTAATGAAATCACGGCATAAAAAGAAATCATTTGTGGTATCAAAAATGTACAAGAGGAGGAGGAAAAGGATGAGACTTTGAACAGGCAAATGCAGATAAACTGCTATCAGCAGAAAGGGAACTGTGTTATCAAGGAGATGTTTCATGTAAACCTCACAGTAACCATAAAGCAAAAATCTAGAGCAAAGACATGAAACATGGAAAAATGCACAGACTCAGCAAATCACAATGGAAAACCACCAACTTACAAAGATGGGCAGAAACAGGGATACCAGATAAGGGGTTAATACCCAAAATACATAAAGAACTCAGACAACTTAGTAACAACAACAACAACAGCAACAACAACAATCCAATTAAAATACGGCCAAAAGTAAGCAGACATTTTTCCAAAGAAGACATCCAGATGGCCAACAGACACAAGAAAACCTGC